CCGCCAGATTTGCGAAAACTTCCCTTCCAGCTTTCCGGCTCTCTCCGTGTTGATCTCATAGTCGGCGCAGTACATGATAAAGTCCTCGCTCATCTGATAATGTTCGTTGGATAGCTGTAACACAAGTAATAGTTGTAATAATAATAATAATAATAATAGTTATAGTAATAGTATCAGTTGCGTGTAGCTATTCTATAATGTTAAAGACTGCACCTCTATAGGAGCCCTACCAGTCCGTCTGTGGAACACCATCTTTTCGTGTTTTATACCTAGAATAAGATGATGACAAAAAAGGGATCAAATGACATCGTCATACCTTCCTTTCCGTAAGTCCCCTTCTTACCAACCTCGATAAGAACTGCATCCGGATGATAGTGTTCAAGAAGCTGTAAAAATAACGTGGCGCCACATCTCAGAAGTTTACGAAAGATCCAAAAGTGAGTTGCACAAACAAAACTTCTTTCCTAGCCAAAGTTCAAAAGTTATAATTTCTAAATATATGAAGGAATCTAATCTAGTCTAATTTGCTTAAAAATGCCTTCATTTTTTCAAACACGCGTTCCTCTATTGGTTTTTTGCAAACTGTTTATGACTGGTTAAAATGTTTTCTATTTTGCCTCATACATGGATACATATAGTTCAACTTATATAATCTATGAGCAGCAGCCGTCAAGGCACCAGCAGAACCCAACGTGATATTTATATGCTCCATGGTCAAGTGATTCTTGCTTACACCTATCAAACCTAATGTACCTTACTACATCAAATCAAGATTATTTCAAACTTAAGACGCCTTTTAGCAAACTCGAACGTACCTTGTCAAAATGTCCTTCATCAAAGTCCTTCCAATACTGGTCAAAAATAGGTTGAAGAATGATTTTGGCTTCTGAAAAAAACATTGGCTGCTTGTTCAAATCTCTAAATGCGAAGCATATTTGTAATCACTGTTGTGTTTGTTGTTTTGAGTACAAATGGGACGAAGCGGATTTTATCAGTCCCTTGACTTCAGAAATTCAAAGTGTCGGTACGTTTTCAAACTTACTTTCACAGCAGCTCATGATGATAAGATGAGTTTATTTTTATTTTCGACCTTATATATTGTTTGATTAGACACTCCATAGTCACTTCAGTAGACAATAAACAAGTAGCTACACATGTCATCCACTTGTGTGGATAGTGAAAAAAGTGTAGCTTTCAGCGTGACATTGCATCCGCTCAGCAATGATGTTTGAGCCCTAGCGTGCACACTTTAGAGGCTGTTACTTATAACCATGATAAAATAGCTACAATCCACCTGTATACACCATCTGTGGATGTTTAAGAAGATTTCCTACTATAGTAGAGTGTAGCCTTCAATTGTGCGTTGAAAGCTGCCCAGGAACTTGCTCAACTATATTG